GAGCCCTCAGCCTCGCAGAGAGAGGCCTTCTGTCCGCACCCGCAGCACAGCCGAGAGGCACCTGAGAGCAAGAACCTTGTGCTCAAAGCACCACTGCCGACTCCAGGTACCTAGAATTCCATTCAGAGCAGTAGCTTCGGAAGCCAGCTGATGGATTCTATGCTGCTACTCCAACCATTTCTTTTTTTTTTCCCCCAGAAGAAAAACAAAGATGCTGAGTGTTGCAGCCTAACAAAACACAGGGGATGTTGTTCGCCTATATTAGGAAGCCTCCAGGGCTGAAGAGTGGCAGAAATTTCTGATGGGGAAAATAGGGGTGACTTTAAATTACTTTAAAATACCCCCACACTGACGTACGCATTTCCACGGGCTTGAGGAAGGGGCAGCCTCTTAATAATGAGCAGAGCAGAGAAAGGGGACAACAGAGGAAGCCATATAATACAGGCTGTTGTCTCCCATATTTTATATTCCCTCCAAAACTGCCTACAGGAAAAAGGCAGGAGCAGAGCAGGTGCCCAAGGCCGCCGGAGGTCTGTGGGCTCTGCCTGGGGTGACGGTCCCGATGGGGCTATACGTTTAAGATGAGGGGATTTCATCCTATGTGCTTGCTTTGGCTTCTTTCTCTGTATGCCTTTCCTTTCTCTGTGATAACATCCGATCAATAAGCGGATGAACTCTGGCCGGTTTGGCTCAGTGGATAAAGCGTCAGCCTTCGGACTGAAGGGTCCTGGGTTCAATTCCGGTCAAGGGCACATACCTGGGTTGCAGGCTCCTCCCCGGCCAGGGCCCTGGTCGAAGCTCGTGCAGGAGGCAACCAATCAATGTGCTTCTCTCACATGGATATTTCTCTCTGTCTTTCCCTCTCTCTAAAAATCAATGGAAAAATATCCTTGGGTGAGGATTAAAACAACAAAACAAAACAAAAACAAAAACGGATGACGAACAAAACAGAGGCCCGGACATAACCCCTCTCCCAAACACACACTAGGGAAGGTCCCTTTTTAGTGAGTGCCTGGGCCACAGGTTAGCTACTGTAAAATAAGAGGTGCTATTCTCTCCCGACAGTGGGTTTTCCCATCACCTGAAACATCATTTACCAAGTGTCTATAACCAAGGAGAAAAACACCCCCAGAGTTTAGATCTGCATCAGCATTTCCCTCAAGATCTACTCAGGTGACAGCGTTTATGAAGGGCAAAGAGAAAGAAGGAGTTGAAGAACATGCCACAGGAGTATAAATTAATAGCCACAGGAGGCAGGGGCCTGGGACTATTGAACATCTTTGTATCACAAGCTTAGAAGCCATCCTAGGAGACTTGGCTGAAAGTCTATCGGAGGCTGACCAAATGAACCCAAGAAACTGCAATTGGTCAGATTACACATTTGGGACAAGCCCACACAGAATTCGGGGAATGATCTGACAAAAGGCCTTAGGCTTAGAATGTGGCCCCGAGTGTCCTTCACACCTGACACAGTGCGCCTGCAGGAGGCGCTCTTTCAGACGTGCTCAGCGCTCTCTGCTCCTGTGACACTGGGTGCAGTTAGGAGTCCTGGGTTTCTTTTTGGTACCATGATGATGATGAGAGACTTTTCTCTCTAGGAGCTCCAATTAAAAATAAGGAGGATTTTTATGACCTTAGGAAGACAGATTTCAAAAACAAACACACACACACAAACAAGGATTTGGGGTAGAAAGCAGAGGATGGGGATGGTGAGCCAAGTAACTGATGGAGTGAAACTCATTCATATGCAGGGAGAGCGATGTTAATCGCCAACCTCTGCCACGCAGTGACTTTCATGAGAGAGTTCTAATGGGTTTGAAGGGTGGAGGAAATAGCAGTAAAATGTTCTACGAGGAGCCTCATAGAATCACAGAAGGTAAGAGCTACAAGTGATCTTACAAATTACTCATTTTCAATCATGAGTTTATGATAAAATTTTCACTGGTCCACAGAAAATTGAGATATATTTGGACAATCTATCACATTTCTTTAAAAACCAAGGTGAATTCAATTTAAAGGATTGTTCTTTAGTCTGAGATTAAAATTTCCCCAGTTTTGTCATATTAAAATAGTTTTTTTTTTTAATGAAAAGACAGTGATTATAAATGGCAGTTTGGAATTTAAAAAATAAATGTAGTCTTTCTCTGTTCCTCATTATTATCACAATTATTTTTTTTTAAAAATGTATTGAAATATACATACATCCCAATTAGTTTTAATATTCCTATATATATGATAGTTTTCTAACTTGGGCAAAATGAAAAGTTGGGCACCCCCAGATAAGTCTCCCAAATTGTTGTTTAAATAAAATTTACTGGCCCATAAAATTGGATTGAGTTCAACATCCCTCCTATTTGCAGAAAAGAAAACGAGTGTGTAGAGAGCTTAACTGTTAAAGCAGAATCCAACCACGGAAAGTCCCCTCGCTAGTAAACAGCAAAGCTCAGACCAGAACCAGGGCTCTTGTCTTCCAGAGTCCAGAGTTCCTACATCCTACTCCACTTCACAGGTGTGCAGTGCTGGTGGAGTCTAGAATTTGATCCTAAAACCACTTACAGTGCAAAACTGAGGTGAAGCCCTGGCTGGGTAGTTCAGTAGGTTAGAGCATCGTTCTGATATGTCAAGGTTTTGGGTTTGGTCCATGGTCAGGGCACATACAAGAAGCAACCAATGAATGCATAAATAAGTGGAACAACAAATCAATGTTTCTCTCTCTCAAATCAATAAATTAAATAAAATAAAACTAAGATGAACACGATTTTATGCCGTCTGTTAGACAGCATGTGAAGCTCTGCTGTGCTTTGCCACAGTGATCTCTTACAGTCATGACAAATAATCTTTACACAACATGAATTACACATTTTTGTGTGATTTTGTCTAATCAAAACTCAATAGGACAGCATAAGATTTTGTAAATATACACAAATAAAGATGCACCTAGTTCATCACCTCTACTTATAAGCTGCTTAGTTCATTTTCTTATCAGTCACAGAACAGCCACCACCACTTGCAGTTCACAACGGATAGCTCAAATGCATCAATTCTGCATCGAGGACAAGACGGGCCAGCTTACTCAGGCCCGTCTATTGAGCTATGTCAATATCAAAAGATGACACATGTCACCAAGACAAATATAAAAAAGCCTTTAAAACCAACCCTGGAGCCAGGAAAACATTCAACACTATGATGCCAAAAATTTGAATCCATTTATCCTGATTTCTCATTCTTATTCTAATTAGTTTCATAGTCACTGTATTTATGGGTGTTTCTAATTCCTGCTGTTAACTGAAGTTGCTGTTTAGTATGCAGGCTCACATTCTTACCTTTTCCCTCCTACGCATTTTGATCTGGCAGCCATAAACACAACCCCATTGTTTTAAAGAGGCCAGAGTAGAACAAAAGGTCTTACCTAAAGTAAGGCCGGTGCTCAGTAAACTTAAAGTAATGTCTTGCTTAATGCCCTGGACTTTCTTTTTTTTTTTTTTTTGAAATAATTTTAGTTGTGAAAATAGTATATCTTTGTGTATCCTTCACCCACCTTTCTCTAATGTTAATATCTTACATGACTGTGGTACAAGATCACAACTACGAAGTTTAACCTGGGAACAGTGCTGTTAACTAAACTGTAGACCTCACTGGAATTTCACCCGAGTTCCCTAATGCCCCCTTTCAGCCTCAGGATCCAACCTGGAACCCCGCGTTGCCTTTTGTTGTCACATCTCCTTGGTGTCTCCTCTGTGACCGTTTCCCAGTCTTTCTTTGACTTTCATGATCTTGATACTACTGCACAGTACTGCTCAGTTATTTTGTAGTGGGGTTCATGGGATGTCTTCCCCTGGCTGGATTGAGGTTATGCATTTTGGACAGAATACTACACAGCCCTGACTGGTTTGGCTCAGTGGATAGAGTGTCGGCCTGCAGACTCAAGGGTCCCAGGTTCGATTCCGGTCAAGGGCATGTACCTTGGTTGTGAGCACATCCCCAGTGGGGGGTGTGCAGGAGGCAGCTGATCGATGTTTCTCTCTCATCGATGTTTCTAACTCTCTATCTCTCTCCCTTCCTCTCTGTAAAAATTCGATAAAATATATTAAAAAAAAAAAAGAATACTACACAAATGATGTGCTTTTTCAGTGCAGCGTATGAGGCGGAATGTAGTGTCTAAATGTCTCATTACTGGTGATGTAAACCTTGTGTACACACACATCCATGAAGTTTGATTTTGGCATCACTTCGCTTCCCCTTTTGATACTCGGCACTCCCCCTTCCACCCCACCCCCCAGCTGTGTCCCAGAGGTGACTTATCTGCATTTGTCCTGCTCGGGCTACAACTCATTCTACTCTTCCCTCTTCTATCAAAGACCACGTGTTCTATCAGTGCCCTGCATTTGTGAGGTAATGTTCAGGTAAATTTATCTCTGCTAAGGTGTTAACAAGTAACAGATTTACATTTTATTTATTTATTTTTTCAGATTCACATTTTAGTAAAGAACTGCTGGAACCTAAGGCTCGGCTAGACAGTGGTCGGCAAACTGCGGCTCGCGAGCCACACGCGGCTCTTTGGCCCCTTGAGTGTGGCTCTTCCACAAAATACTGACTTCTGCGCATGGGCCACGAAGTTTCAATCGCACTGTACGTGCGTGCCCGCACGTGGTATTTTGTGGAAGAGCCACACTCAAGGGGCCAAAGAGTCGCATGTGGCTCGCGAGCCACAGTTTGCCGACCACTGGGCTAGGATGACCAGAGGACCCCGTGTGTTTGGGACTGACCCTGTGTGTGCCTGTTGCCCTGGCTTAATCAGTAATTGCATCCTCTTTCCCTCTCAAAAGGGTCCTGGTTTCTCTGTTTAATAATATGGCCACCCAACCTTAACCAAAATAAATGACTAATCATAGGCATTTTGGTAGGCCAACAGGGAAAATAAATTTAGGTAAATGACGTTTCGATGTTTCTCGAATTGCACCCCAGCTCTATGTTCCTATAAAAAGTTAAAGTTCACCAACCTGTAGGAATCAGGGTTTCGTCCACAGGCAAAAAGGCATCGGCTTCTATAGTGACTTCATGGTCGTATATATTCGGGGAACCCTGGGAAGGAAGGGGTAGGGAGGAAGATTTAAAGCTTAGTCCTATTTCATATATTTGCTTTATAACTTCTCTTGCAGAAATGTTTTCAGGCATTGACAAAAACGTTAGACATCCCATGTGACCTCTGAGACGGCTGATACGTTCCTTGAAGTGTGGGTAGACAGGGCCTCAAAATAGCAGCTGATACATTTGGGAGAAGCTTTCAAGCGTGACCCCAGCATGCATGTTCTTTACTAAATGAAAGCATAACGGTGCAGAGTCAGGGAGACACCAGTAGTCTGAAAGCTTTTTGGATTTCGACTTTTATTAGCAGAGGGGTTTTTTCCACCTTCCTCACATGCTGGGAAAAACAAGAACAAGGGTCAGTGACCCATAGCACACAGGGCTGGATGGCCAAGGCCTCGCCTCCAGGCTCACCAGAGGTGAGGCACGTCACCCTTTCTCTGGCCCAATTCCCTGCCACACGACAGAAGCCTGGAAGTCAAAACTCGGGTCCCTGCTTTAGGGCGTTTTTCCGTCTCCATAAAGAGGCACCTGCTCTCCTGGGGGAGTCAAAGGCTGGTCAGTGGGCAGAGGCCTGTGGTCTAGTTCCAGCTCCCACTGAGTGGCCCCCGGGGAGTCACATAACCTCCTGGAATCTCATTTCCTTTTGTGTAAAACTGGGCTAACGGTGCCCCTACCTTTTCCAGGGCTCTTCTGAAGGACAGTTTAGTAAAGACGTGTTGCGTTGCTTGCAAATTGGAAGATGCACATGTACGTTTCTAATTTAAGGGATTATTTTGATTATTAATAGGAGTTTATTTTAAAGCTCCACAGCAGAAGATACGAAAAGGGAAACCTCAAAAATAAGCTAAACCAGTGGTCCTCAACAGGGGCTGATTTTGCCCCACCGGGGAAGAATTTGACAATGTCCAGAGACATTTTTTTTTTTAATTTAAATATTTTATTGAATTTTTACAGAGAAGAAGGGAGAGAGATAGAGAGTTAGAAACATCGATGAGAGAGAAACATCGATCAGCTGCCTCCTGCACACCCCCCAGTAGGGATGTGCCCGCAACCAAGGTACATGCCCTTGACCGGAACCAAACCCGGGACCCTTCAGTCCGCAGGCCGACGCTCTATCCACTGAGCCAAACCGGTTCGGCCAGAGACATTTTTGATGGTCAAGACCGGGGGTGGTAATGCTAATGGCATCTGGTGGGAAGAGACCAGGGATTCTGCTAAATGCTCTACAATGCACAGGACTGCCCCCGACCCCTGCAACAGGAATTACCTGGCCGAAATGTCAATAGTGCCAAGACTGAGAAACGCTGAGCTAAGCGACACTGATGGTTCTGCGGGTTCGAGAATCAGCAGAGAGAGGCAGAGCGCTGTGGTTAATGGAAAACAGGTTCTGTGGTCAGAAAGCCTCAGGCCCACAGAATCAAATGGAAAAGCCTGGCCCCAGCATGCAAGATTTTAGAGACCTTGAGACTCTATGTCTAAACATGGCAGAAACTGTTTGATTTGCTCTACTAAGAAGGTCTGTTTCTGAGGAACATCTCTTTTGTCCTCCTGGCAGGCACCTGCTGGGCAGGGGCAGGGATCGGTGGCAGGTCAGACTGGGCCAGAGGTTTCTCCTCTGCTTACACAACGATCTCAGCCACTTGTTTGGCCCCTGTTCTGACCTGGGAAGGCAGGTCCAACATGGGAGGGGCCTAGGGCAGCTGTAGACCAGAGGGGTCATCACCTGTGTGGCTCTTCCTACTGCCATCGCTCATGGCTCAGGGGTACAGCCAGCCCCAAGCAGGCCTCTGGGACTGAGGGGTGTCCCTTTCTGATGAGGGAAGAGAATTTGAAATAATTTTAGTAGTGAAACTGGCTCTACCTGTTCAATGCTCAGTTCAAGTTTGAGTAGTATTCCATTACGTGAATATATTACAACTTGTTTACCTATTTTCCTATTGACGGACTTTTGTGTTGTTCCAGTTTTTTACTATTATGAATAAAGGAATGTCCTGTTTCTGTTTGTTTTTTAACACTAAGGCAGAAAGAAAATGATTCACTATGAAAATCACACGCCCAACGAACTGATGAGTCTGAGATGTTAGCAAGAGGCCAGGGAGGAGAAGGAAAAAACCTTTATTAGGCACCATTAGGTCCTACTGGCTACTGGGTCACCGAGCAGCACTAACATTCCGTCATTGAAGGGAAGCATGCTTCACTTTATGACTCCTCTGACCGGGAATAATGCAATGGTCCACTCTGGTGGAATATTTCTGTTGGATTCATTTCCTCCCCGGCGGATGAAAATTTGGCAAGGAATGCTGATTCACAAACAGAACTTGAGGTCCATCTCTGAGCTTAGTGTTTGTTTTGGTGAACTTGGCTTGGCTGTGACTAGCCTGTAACATTAGCCATGCACAGAGCTCATTGTGGCCTGCGTGGGCTTTAAAGACTTCTTTTGTGCATTGCCACTACCACTGCCTTAATTCAGCTCTTATCGCCTCTAGCAGGAATAACAGACACCATTGGTTACTACCCAACCAAGCCATAGCAACTGCCTTACCAGCACCCTCCCGCTCCCCTGGGAGAACCCTGACCTGTGGCTTTTCCCTGTGCTAGGTTATAGATTCAGGGGAAGGACCCCTACCCTGGCCCCAGAGGGCTAATCCTGATTGGTCTAAGCCAGTGATGGCGAACCTTTTGAGCTCGGCATGTCAGCATTTTGAAAAACCCTAACTTAACTCTGGTGCCGTGTCACATATAGAAATTTTTTGATATTTGCAACCATAGTAAAACAAAGATTTATATTTTTGATATTTATTTTATATATTTAAATGCCATTTAACAAAGAAAAATCAACCAAAAAAATGAGTTCGTGTGTCACCTCTGACACGCGTGTCATAGGTTCGCCATCACTGGTCTAAGCCAATCCCGGTGGTCTAATTCCTTTGTTGGTGATTAGGTTGAACAGGGCACAGGGCACACTTTTGGTCAACAAAATGTAGGAAAAGTCTGGAGGGGAGCTTCTGGGAAAAGTTTTGCTTGTTTTTAAAAATGGAACATGAGAGATATGAAAAAAAAAGGAATAGGTCCTTTTTTGTCTCTAGATGTGACTATATGAAGAGGTGGTTTCTAGAGCAACCATCCAGTGACCATGAGAGGACAGCCTGAAGGCAAAGGCCACAGCACTGGAGAAGCAGAATGGAAAGACGGCAGAACCTGGGTCCTTGGTGACTACCTCCCCAGCCATCCGGAACCACAGTCACTGCTTGTCACCTCACGTTCCCCCAGGCCTGCTTTCACTGCTCTTTAGGTAAAATTTCAGCAAGAAACATGTTCTCCCAGTTTTGTGTTAGGCAAACACAGGAACAGCGAAAAAGAAAAAAACGCAAATAACTACAACCCACATAACTTTTCTATTCTCTGAAAAACACAGTTCTCCCTTCCTCTCAGGCCCCCAACACTCAAACTTAGAAGCGATGAGTCAAAGCCTGGCCCCAAGTAGAACAAAAGTACTATTAAGTTAAAAAAACAAAAAACAAAAGGAGAAAATATATAAGATGAGCTGACTACCTTAAATACCAAGTTTGGATCTATTTCCCTGGGGAGGGTTTAGGATGCATGATAATGTGTCTGTGGGGAGGGTAAGAGATATTCTGAAAACGCAGAGGTCCCTGACCCCCGGCCTAGTTAGACTGACCGTCCACTCTTACCTGACAACCCCTGCCCACCCTCAACCCTGGAGCTAGTGGCTGTGGAGTCCAGCTGCACTTACTAAGACAGTTACGGAAGGGAGTTGACACTGACCACCCTTCTAGTGGGGCCTGTGATCTGGGAAACTATTCAGCCTATGCTAAGAGATTCAGAAATACCTGTCACTTCAGGGATGGGAAGGGTGTATAATTCTGGTCAGGAGGGTTCTCTGCCAGGGAAATAGGAAGAGCCTCGGTGAATCTTACATTCCCATTAAGTCTCCTCCATCGGAACACTTTGGCAGATGTGATACTTCACACATCATTTCTCTTTCTAGTCCTGAATCTTTTCCTTTAGGCCACCCCTGCTTATAAAATTGGATGTCTAAGTAGATAGAAATGTTGAAAACAGTAAAAAAACCACCATGATCTGCTACCTACATTAAACCATAAATATTTTGTTCTATTTTCGTCAAGTTTCTTTCTGAACTTATTTTGAAAAGTAGGGCCTTTATGTTTATTATTGCAGAGCCTTTTATGGCTGGGCGTGTTTGTTTTGTTTTTGTACTTTGGTGTGTCTTTAAGATCTCAAGAAAGATGGTGGGAGTTCCTGAAGATAAGGAGAGAGCAAGTGAAGAAACATCTTTCTTATTTTTAAAGGGAGGACTTTGGAAAGTTTATCAGAACCAATTAACTCAAGCTATTTGAAAAGATCCTAGGAAAAAAATCAGATCATCAGCAAACTCCTAAGAGAGTGTGAAAATGCAAGCTATTACTAGCTGGCTGTGAACATCATCTCGTGATAGAAAATCATGCCAAAGTGAGTGATTCAAGTACAGTAGACGCTGATGAGTTCTTCAGATGAACAGGAAGTAATAGATATAATCTGCAGAATTTAGCTAAGCTTTTTGTATTCTGTCTCATGCAATCGCCTCCTCAACAAGCTAAAATATTAGCATTAGGAGGGAATGAGGTAGTTTAGAAATTACTTAATGGGGGTTGTAATGTCCCTACCCCACTCTCAGGGTGGGCCACACAGTAGGAGCACACAAATATTCTCAGCATATCTAAAGGGCTTGGGCAGAGCACATTCCCAAAGGTCCAAGGGTAGAAAGCACTTTTCTTGGAAGTAATTTTTTAGGGGAAGGGGGTGTAGGAGTGAAGTAGGTGAAGCAAATGTAAGTACACGTTGTTAGTTGAGAGGGAATTCTTAAAATCGCTAGTTAGTTACCTGAGCATATGGGAAACTTAGTTCTCTTGGCAGCAGAACATACTCATCCTATCTTTCCCTATAACTTTCATTTATTGAGCACCTACTATGAGCCAGATGCTTTGCTGGGCAATGTCATCAGCATGGGGGTGACCCCATCACCAGGGTAATTTCATGCTGGGTTGGTCTCTCCAGTCACTCCCCCAGCTCATTCCACAAAGCACATTGCAGGAGAGAAGAGGCAAGGTCACTCACCTGGCCTGCCAGGTTGAAATAAGAATGGTTGGTCAGGTTGACGGGTGTGGTCTGACTGGCCTGCGCTCGGTAGTTGATCACGAGCTCCCCACCATCCAGCGTGTATGTTACCCAGACTTTTAACTCCCCAGGGTAACCTTCCTCACCGTCCGGACTGACCCGGGAGAACTGGACGCCATTTGACAGCACCTGAGGGGTCCAGAGGACCTAGAAAAAAAGTGTTTTCAAAGCTGTTTAGTCACTCCAATCCCAAGCTAAATGCCACATTTCAATATCAAAGACAACTGGTTCCAGGAAGGGAGACGATGATACAACCCATAAGGTTGAAAATAATAGCCTAGATGTTAATTATTCCAAAATCCTGTTTTAAACAGAATTGGAGAGAAAAGAGATTTTCTCTTTACCTACTCACACTTCCCATACTCTTTCCCCCTGAATTTATACATATGTGTCTACAGTATTTTCTTCCCCTACTTTGAGACTTTTTTGTTGAAATCTTAGCAGTACATTCTGAGTGTCATATAGTGATATCTGCTATCTGCTAATAGTATTAAAAATAACCTTGCCCAGCTGGCGTGGCTCAGTGGTTGAACATCCATCTGTGAACCAGGAGGTCACGGGTTCGATTCCCAGTCAGGGCACATGCCCGGGTTGCAGGCTCAATCCCCAGTGAGGGGAGAACAGGGGGCACTTTGCAGACATGAGACTGTCATTGTTGAGTGCTCACCAGCCGCTGACCTGGTGCTTTTATGTAAATCATTTCACAAGGTAAGGATTTGGTGGGACCAAAAAAATTATCATCTTTGCAGGTCAAAATAGTTGAACAGTGGCAATTTCACATGGTTCCAATTAATATTATTACTCCCATTTTACAGATGAGTAAATTGAGTTCAGTGGAGTTAACTTGCTCACTTCTACCTCCCACACCCCAGGGGAGTGGAGTAGAAACCTTTAATACGTCATGCCCACTGTTTAAAGGGGGTGTGTGTGTGTGTGTGTGTGTGTGTGTGTGTGTGTGTCAAGTCATACACGTAATTAGTGATAGAGCTAGGATTCAAATTCAGGTCTACATTATAACACATCTTGGTTTCAGTGGATGTTTTGTTCAAATCTCCATGAGTATATGATTTTTTAAAAGGAAATAAAGAATTCAAATGAAAAAAAAAAATCTCTATGAGTTGAGACCAAACACTGTCATTCCAAATAGACTTAAAAGATAACAAGTCCTTTGGCCTGAGGAATGGCCATGAGCCCAGGCTGTGCCCCCTCCCCCTCTTCCCCCACCCCCACTCCTGGCTGCACCTCTCAGTGACATTGCATTTGCCAGGAAGGGGAACCCAGCGGGAATGGGGGACTCTGCCTTCACCGATGGTGAAAGCAGCTGGTGCCTGAAACAAGTTCACTGACCTTAGAAACAAATTAATTTTAGACCCTAATTACCTCCCAGGAAGATTGAATTTTCAAGACACTGAACACACAAAGCCTGTCATATATGTGATTAAAGAAGGAAAGAAGAAACTCCCGAATGGAAAATTTTAGGAATAAAAAAACTTGAAATGTTCTTAACTTGCTACCTTGTTTTTCTCCTTTAGAGAAAGAACACAATGGAAAGATTTTTGTGTAAACCAATATGATCAGATAAGTATAATACCGTGGGAAGTGTCATTCCTATTCATGGAAGGATTTCCCTAGCCCTATCGTTTCCAGATTTCCATAAAATTTCCTGATTTGCACCTTTAGGCCTACTTCTCCCATTTCTAATCCTGTCAGGTTCTTCAAATTTCATCTTTAGAAAACACATACCTCCAAAAGAACAATTATTCCGTAACTGTTGAGATCAAACACAGCTGAAAACGAAGTTCATCTGATACTGCTCATGGTACTATATCAAAACCTACTGTTCAAAAACTTTCCATAATAACATTCCAAGTGTTCCCCCGCTTCTCTCTGGGCTGTTGCACAGCCATGCTCTCCAATATCAACACAGTGAATGAAATGCTATCCTTTCTTCAAGGGCAGTTCAAGTCCCACCTCCCCCGTTGCTATGCATTTGTCCATGCCCAGTTCCTCTATCACACCACTGGCGTCTATATTATGGGCTTATACCAGTGGTTTATGGAAGGGTCCCGCTCCCTCACTGTACTGTGAGCCTCAGAAAGCCCCATCCTCTGATGTGCCCTGGTTCACAGAAGGGGCCCAGTAGGCACATTGCATTCAAGAATATGTGTACATGCACACTCGCCATTTGCTACGTTCATACAGGGCATACATGTTAAGCAACACCACAGAAAGTACCGCCGTGGGCGAGAGGGAACAGGAACAAGCAGGAACACGGTGCTGTTCTGAGGCTCTACTCAAGATCCCTGTCCGCACAGAGCTGGGCCTAACTTCTCTGGTTGCGGTTTGCCCACAGACTGGGCATATGCCAGGGACCCTCTGGCTCTGTGCCTCCCTGGCCGAGGACGCCCATCGTGGAGGAAAAGGGAACTGACGGGGCAGTCTGGTTCTGGGCCACAGACAGGAAGCTGGTGGGACAGGGGTAGCAGGGTAACCAACTTCTTCTCCGGGAGAGCTGGCGGTCAGGGGCAGAAAGAAATTGTGGTCCTTAACTGCACACATGTTCCTGTCTTCTCTGGCTCTTCGCTAGGAAATCACCTGGCGGTGTGTTTGAAAGGCAAGTGAACTACCGGAAGGATCTCCCTCACAGCCTGGAATGAGACCAGTAAGAGAGTCTCTGGGGGTTGACCAGCAGACGCACCCAGGGAGGGGGCAGGAGGCCAGGCGTCCCTGCTCAGGGCGAAGCTGTTGGGTCAGTTTGCTTTCCTCGCCTCGTTTTTCCCGGACTCTCTGGGGGAGTGGGAGTTTTAATGTGGAAAAGGGGAACTGGGGAGGATAGGGGATATTTTGGGGGCATGGAGAGGTAGGCCTGAATGCAGCAGAGCTTAACCACAGATACAGGGGTGCGTGCCGGATTGGGGGCACCCACAGTGGTGGCCGAGGTGGAGAGCAGCAGTTGTGAAGGAATGAGGCCTCTGGCCAGGCAGCCCAACTTAGGAGCATGTGGCCTTTTGGAGCCTCAGATTTCTCATTTGGGGATAATACAGGTTCTAGTAAGGGCGAGAGACAACACATGAAAATACCTTGGGCAGTAAGTGGTCAGTATCATTCCAATCTACTTTCCTGCTGTGCTTACGGTCAACTCCACTCCCTGGTCCAACCCTGACGAAGTCGTTCCCTGTCTTCCTAAGTCAAGGTCACTGTCCTCTCATAGTCAGAGGAGTTAGGCAAGGATGGGTCCTGAGACAGCCAGCGCACCTGCTCCTCCGAACCACGGAGCAGCGTCTTTCCTGAATCACCTTCCCACGCACTTGCTCCAGGGCCTAGGGTTGCGCCTGGTAAACAGCAGGGATGCTCGAAGGCCCTGTGTGAAGTGTGCCAGGTGAGGACTCAGTGCCCCCGCCCCAACTCACCTTATCAAACCCTCTGACTCCTCCATGCAGACTGTTGGGCCCATTGTTGATGGCCAGCTTATACTCCTTCCCGTCCACTGTGAATGTTCCCTTGGCAATTCGATTGGCCACCCTGCCAACCACGGCTCCAAAGTAGGGCTGCTTCTGGAGGTACCCTGCAAGGACAGGGGATGACAGTTTTGTAAACTTCAAACTGAAGGTGAGGCTCACACTGCTAGCCACCACTTTCTCCTGAGGGCAGCTGCAAAGGAACAACTTGGGTATACCCTCATGGCAGCACAGAAAATGGTGTTCTCTACACATGACCTTTCCCCTTTCCAGAGTGGTAAACATTTTTAAAGAATGTTATAAAGCACAAAGAAGACACTTAAACCATCCTAACCTCATCACCAGACAGAATTACTGGTTTAAAAATTTTTTTTTTTAATCAACTGATTTTAGACAGAGATAGAGTGAGACATCACATTGCGGTTCCACTTATTCATTGGTTGACTCTTGTATGTGCCCTGGCGGGGATGAACCTACAATCGTGGCGCTGGGAGGATGTGCTAACTAACTGAGCTACCTGGCCAGGGCAGAACCACTGTTACTATTCTTACGCACATCCTCTGTCTTCTAGTATATGCATACGGGTGATTTTCTTCTTTTTATAAAACAGAGGGGTCTTAGTGTACATGCTGCTTTGTAATCTGCTTCCCCCCTCCCCCCAGGCCAATCAATTTTCTTAGTTACATTTATGTGTAGTCTTGAAAAGAAACTATCTTATCTTTCTTCTCTTTTCATTAAAAAAAATCATGTAATTAGTACATCAAATGTCCTTTAAAGAGTGTTAAATAATACACAAGAATATAGAGTAGGCTTGCCAGAGGAGCTGTAGGACACCCAGTAGTTAAATCTGAATTTCAGGTAAATAATGAAAACATTTTAGTATAAGTATGTCCATATTATTGTTATACATGGCACATACTTACATTTAAAAAATGTTATTTAGCCCTAACCGGTTTGGCTCAGTGGATAGAGCGTCAGCCTGCGGACTCAAGGGTCCCAGGTTCGATTCTGGTCAAGGGCATGTATCTTGGTTGCGGGCACATCCCCAGTGGGGAGTGTGCAGGAGGCAGCTGATCGATGTTTCTAATTCTCTATCCCTTTCCCTTCCTTTCTGTAAAAAAATCAATAAAATATATTTAAAAAAAATAAAAGTGTTATTTATCTGAAATTCCTATTTAATTGGGCATCCTGTATTTTTCTTTGCTGAATCTGGCAACCTCAATAGAGTAAAACATGAAAGTTCTCCTCCACCTCTCAGCTCCTCTGCTTCCTGGTAAACTGCTAACAGTTAGGCATATACACTTACTTTAAAAAACACACATTCTATATATAGAGAATTATACACGCTGTTTTGCTACATTTTCAGTTATCAAATGTCTTAAGGTCTCTCCATGTGGCTACATGGCATATTGATGAGAATAAACTGTTGTCAGTATTTTTTTGGGGGTGGGGGGGGGCGGGGGAGGAGTAAAAGAAAGATAGCTAGTGTCCTGTACTTACAACTTGGTGCCTGGGTATATTACAGTACTTTCCTTCTCTTTAAGTTCCTCTGCGCTATAATTTTCTAGCTTAGATTACATTGGCAGAGATTAAGGTTCGGAGGTAGTTTGTTTTTTTGTATTATCACCAAGATTGCTTTCTACTCTATTTTTCACTCAGAGGCCCTCGAATTCCATTCCCCTTTCTGCAGTCCTGTGTACCCATCACATCTACTGTGGATCAGAAAAGCATGCAATTTAAGCCTATGCACTATTTTTACCACAGCTGGAGGGGCTCTTAGGACATGGACCCTGAACCGATTAGGCCAGTTGCAGGTTACAGGTTCCCATTACTCAACTGGTTGGGCCTAACCGAAGCATTCATCTTCTCTTCCAGGTCTTTCCTGGTTCACTTCTTGCTAATCTGCAGGTCCTCAGAGTCCTGACCATAGACTGTCGTCACAGCTAACACTGCGCTTTCAAAGTCTCAGCCACTTTCTAAATGCTGTACATTTAACTCATTTCATCCTCAGAATGCTTCCATAAGGTAGACACTATTATTAGCAGGTGTGGAAACCGAGAACAGAAAGGTGAAGTAACTTGCCCCCAAACATACAGCTAGTTATGGCCAAACCAGGATTTGAATGCAGACACTCTGGCTCCTAAATACTTGTTCTTGTGCATCACATGACTTCCAAAACACAAGGCTTTCTGATTAGTTGATCTTACTACCATATCTCAGCACAGGCAGGCTGATCTTATCAGCTCCCACCTTTCTCCCACTCTCCTCTCTTCCTGAAGCTGTAGCTTTAAAACCCTAACACTGGATAACCAAAAGGAGTCCCCAAGGGCCAGACAACCTTTTCTTGGTTTTTGTTTTTAATAGACTTTATTTATTTATTTTTTAAAATATGTTTTTTACCGATTTTAGAGAGAGAGGAAGGGAGAGGGATAGAAACACTGATGAGAGAGAAACATCAACATCGATTGGCTGCCTCCTGCACACATCCTGCTGGGGATCAAGCCTGAAACCCAGGCATGTGCTCTGAGTGGGAATCAAACCTGTGACCTCTTGGTGCACGTGTCAACACTCAAGCACTGAGCCACACTGGTGGGACACTTTAGAAAAATCAAGAAAACTTTCAGAAAAATTGAGCTGAAGATAGAGATTCCCAAATAACCCCTGCCCTCACACATGCATAGCCTTCCCCATTATCAGCATCCCCCACCAGAGTGGTACATTTATTACAATTGTAATAAATTTGTGCACTCGGGGTGTGGGGGGGGTCCCTCAGTCCGGCCTGTGCCCTCTCGCAGTCTGGGACCCCTCGGGGGATGTCCACCTGCTGGCTTAGGCCCACTCCCCGGGGGATTGGGCCTAAGCTGGCAATCAGACATCCCTCTGGCAGCCTGGAGCCCTGCATTGAGCGTCTGCCCCCTGGTGGTCAGTGTGTGTCATAGTGACCAGTCATTCTCAGTTGTTCTGCTGTTAGGGTAAATTTGCATATTACCCTTTTATTATATAGGATGAGTCTACATTGACACATCATCATTACCTAAAGTCCATAGCTGACATTAGTGTTCACTCTTAGTGCTGTATATTATATGGGTTTGGACAAATGTATCCTCCATTATAATATCATACAGAGTATTTTCACTGCTCCAAAAATCTTCTGTGCATTGCCTATCTATCCCTCCCATCCCCCTAGTCCCTGGCAACTACTGATCTTTTTTACTGTCTCCATAGCTTTGCCTTTTCCAGAATGTCATATAGTTGGAATCATACAGTATGTAGCCTTTTCAGATGGGCTTCTTTCACTTAGTAATATGCATTTAAGGGTCCTTCCTGTCTTTTTTTTTTTTTTTTTTTTTGTGGCTTGATAGCTCATTTCTTCTTAGCACTGAATAATATTCCATGATCTGGATGTACCCCAGTTTATTTATCCATTCACCTACTGAAGGACATCTTAGCAATTATGAATAAGCTGCTATAGATATCCCATGTGCAGGTTTTTGTGTGGGCGTAAGATTTTAGCTCTTTGAGAAAATACCAAGGAGCATGACTGATGGATCATATGGTTAGAATATGTTTAGTTTTGTAAGAAACTACTAAACTGTCTCCCAAAGTGGCTGTGCCCTTCTGCATTCCCATCAGCAATGAATGAGAGTTCCTGCTGCTCCACATCCTAGCTGCTATTTGGCATTGTCCGTGTTCTGAGCTTTGGCCATTCTATTAGGTCCTGTTTTACTTTGCATTTCCCTGATGATATATAATGTGGAGCATTGGTTTGTTTTTCAGGAGCTGAAAAATGCAAAGAAAGCAGAATTTCTGTTCAAAAATTGTTTGGCTGTATGTACCGCAGACAGCCCAAACCTTAGCCAGAGTACCTTAAAGTCTCAAACAAAATTGCTCACTAGTCTCGGTCAACGCCCCCTCACCCTCACCCTGATTCACTTTCCTTTGGCTTTTTGAGGAAAACAAACATTACTTTAATTGACGAGCACTTTAAGCTTCCCACATATTTTATATATTTTTCAATGGTTGCTGGTTGTCCCAGATGAATCTCCATGCTATTTTTTTTTTTTTCAGTGCTAACAAAGTGAAATAAAAAGTTCAAGTACTGTGAGGGAAGGTATTTGGGAGCAAATGAAGGAAAGAAGATAAAAACTATTACTTGTTCACCACAGTCAGATACTATCACAGCCAACAGCACATTTAATCATCATTATCCACTTGTTTCGGAGAGGAAATAGGTCTGGAGAGGTTAAACAACTTGCCCACGGTCACACAGCTTTCAGGGACAAAGCAGATTTAAACCAGGAATCCTCAATACTCCCTTAAGGGCACTCTGGGGCATCTGTAATATTAAACTGCAGCCTCTAAACTGGTCCCCTTTCCTCCAGGGTAACCCCTCTTATGAACTCAGGTTTTCCAAAAACACTATAGCTATTTTTTTCTAGTTTTTCCATAATGGCTCTCATGACAGTAATAGCTGGGTGTCTGGTGGTAACTGGGGGGAAGATGGAGGGGAAGGAGTTGCATTGATTGTATGGGTAGGTTGTTTGTATCTGTGGCTTATAAGCAAATGTTCTCATCACAGGTTTGGAAAGAAGTCATAATGATTGCAGGTGGGACATGCAAATGAAAAACATTTAAAAATGTTTTAAATACAAAATATGGCAGAAAAACTCACGGGAGGCGTGACTGATTTTCCCAGCCCGTCACTACAAGACCATGTGATTTACCTCTTTAAAATTCTACAGAAGAAAGATCGCATTTACCCAAGGAGGAATTGAACTGTTCTGACCTCAGGTCATGGCCATCATCCAAGCAGTTTATATAATCTTCCTGGGAAATTGGCGATAGTTCATTCACATCAATCTGGCAGTTACAAAAGGACCACGTCTCACGGAATTATCCACGCTCAGCTCTTCCCAGTGGCTCAAAACATTTTAGGGGACACGGTAATGAAGGTAACCCCTTGCTCTGTCACATCTTATTGCTTTAAGTTATTTGCCTCAGTTTGTTTCTTTAACACTTATGTACTCAGACATTCTTAGACTACATAGTGAACATTACGTCTCCTTCCTATCCCTGTACCCCAGCTACCCAGAGTCTTTGCTTAAGGGCAACCACTGTTGCCGATTTCTTAACATGGGTTTTAATACACTAGAATTGATCAAAATAGCAGCAGAGAGCCATTTCATAATTCTGTTATGCGCAGTTTAACGATGGGGACACATTGAGAGATTTTACCTTTGTGCAAACATTATAGAATGCACTTACGCAAACCTAGATAGTATAGCCTGCTATACACCTAGGCTATGTGGTTGGTATACTACTGTAGTGTGGTCCGACCTTGACCAAAATATTGTTATGCAGCCATAACTGTATTCTGATTGAGACAATTATGCTTCCTGTTATGAAGTCTTCCTTATTTTTGGCAATACTAAAGGAATACACACACACACACACACACACACACACACACACTGACTCATACAGAGGGAAAGGGGCTTAGATAGTATAGCCTGCTATACACCTAGGCTATATGGTTGGTATACTACTGTAGTGTGGTCCGACCTTGACCAAAATATTGTTATGCAGCCATAACTGTATTCTGATTGAGACAATTATGCTTCCTGTTATGAAGTCTTCCTTATTTTTGGCAATACTAAAGGAATACACACACACACACACTCACTCACACTGAAGGACAGGGCCTTATAAAGGGAACAAGGGGGCTGCCTGCCATAGCCTTGAAGATGGCTGAATATATTAGAAAGTATTGCTTGATATTCTCAGGGCTTTTTTCCAACTTCTCTTTTGAAAACAGCTTGATTTTCTTTTAACATAAATTATTTAAATTATAGCATAGAAATGAAAATGTCTCTCTCGCTGCTCTTTGTGAAGCCTGTGACGCATTCTGGTTAAGAAAATTCTATTTAACTTTCCCAAGAGATGTTAATTACATGGAGGGCAATACAATACAAGCCAGGGGATCAGTTTTTTTTTCTTCTCCCTTTTAAGAACAATTGGGAATATTTTCTTTCACTCAGACTCCCACGAGTCATAGACTCATGGAGACAGTTGTATAAATGCCCTCACAAAATCGGCACTTCTATGCCAGTGCTTCCCCGGTGCCATGTTATCATGACACATATTTCATATGAATTCCAGAAAGCTACCTTGTGCTTTAAGATCCATGTAACTCACATCAGAACTAAAAATGATATGAACAGTGTGTGTGTGTGTGTGTGTGTGTGTGTAGAGGGAGGGCAGTTACATCCTGAATAGTGATAAGGCCGAGATAGAAATGAGATGATAAAAACAGGTGCTCTTAGCTTATCGTCTCCAGTTCTTTACTGGTTCTGCAATTGTAGGCCAAGTACCCAATTCTTTGACTCCATGGGCAATTTTGCACCAGTCAAGTAAACTCTTTATGGTTTGTTTCAGCCTAGAAAATGGTTATGCTAGTGACAAGAGAGAGGTGACTCAGCAAAATGAGGAAGCCTCTTTTGTCATTTGTCAACCATGCTTCTTGCCTTCTGACTTTGAAGACAGATGCGAACACCCACCTCCAGAAATTCAAGGGGATATGGAGCTGATTTCCCCCACATCCCTGTACTTTCCTACACTGGAGTCTCCTGTAATAGATTTGCTGAAGTTACCAAAGAAATTCTGCCGAAGATTACCTACTCCCTCTCCAAGATGACCTACCCCCTCTCCAAACCAAGCAGTGGAAGCTCCAACACAGATTAAGACAACTAGAGGGCAAGGAATAGGATCCTCAGGGATATTCTGATAATACATTTTGATAAGGAAATGGGAAGCAAATTTCAGGTTCCTAAGGGAAACCCAATACTCTCAAGAGTTTTCTGTTGACATCCAACTCTGAGCCATGCTACATATCTAAAGAACCAGACAGAAGGACACGCCTAAAAGAAAACCTCAAACCTCCTCTCTAAGCAGCTTGTTTCCACCTTTGCCACTGGGCAGAGGATATCAATTCTCAACGGTGTCCCTTTGCCAACTTTATTTCAGACCTCATTTCCTGTCCAGTGGCACCCCTACTACCAAGAGAACACTAGGTATGCTCTCCTTTATTGCCATCAAACTGCGATTGTAATTATTTATTTATGCAATTATTTGGCTAATGGCTATGTCCCCAGCTAAACTACAAGCTGTATGAGGTTGGGGACCTCGTCTGTCTCATTGGATGAGGTAACTGGATTAACAGTTTTTAAATGCATGTAGTAATATACGATCTTAATTGCCCACGGATTCCAAGAGGATAAAAGTCCACCCTAGCTAGGAGAAGACCTCATTTCTAGACCATGAGTAGGTCTTCCGCGTTCCATTCTGTACATGGTCCCTGAGCAGCCAGAGCCTGCTGGGCACTAACCCCACCCAGACCCAAGTGGATAAGCTGTCTGCATCCCCTGAGACAACCATGCCTCAAAGAGACTCTGATCCAGGAAAAAGGAAGTAGAAAACGCACGTCTTTGATTTTCCTTGTTGCGAAAGGGCCAGAGGGAGGAACTGGGAGCCACACCCCCTCCAGCCTGCCTTTTCCTCTTCAGCTCTGACAAAGACCAGGCGGTTCAAAGATCGCTCCAGGGTTTCTGGAGTTTTATCTGACCCTCGACTGACTTTTTAAATCAATGAGGCAAAGCCTGAATGGATAACCAGAGGCCAAGTCCTATCGCTGTTCATTCTGTCTTTTCCCGAGCACTGGGTACAACACAGAGAGTGAGCGGGACGCAAGCATTCCTGACCCGCACGTCCCAAGCTCGGGCCCTTCCCCTCGGTCCCTGCTCCCGGAGCAGCCCCATCCCGGCCGCGGGCAGGGTGGGCCTGAGGCCCGCCCGCAACCGGGGCAGAGTTTAACCCACCTTCCAACTCGGCAAAGCCCAGCACTACATCTGAGGCTCTGCCCTGCCTGTCTTTGACCTCCAGGGCCGAGATGGTGCAACCCCAAGAGAGGATGTCCACTCTCAGCTGGTCTGACTGCAGCCGGAACTTCTCCACTGTCCCTGCCCCCGAGGGCAGCTCTCCAAACACGGATCTGGTCACCGAAACCATGGGGAAAGCAGGGTGTGCTGGGACTCCTGGCCCTTCCAACTCCTGCAGCCGAAGTGGGAGCGACAGAAGTTTACTGGGAAAGGGGTGGGACCCGGCTCAGACTCCTCCCCTTCCTTGCCTGGATTTGGGGAGTGACCACTCCTGCAGAAAATACCCCCTGCGGCCTTTCTAATCTTTTCGTTGCCAAGGGTCACCTAAATGCAAAATTTCCAACCGTGCTTTTGGTTCTTTTCCTTTGCTAACCTTGGCTGCATTGCATGTTGGGAATGGTAGTCTTTGGAAGATGAAGTTGCATTTTGGGGCTTGTAGTTTTTCTAAACCCAATCCTGAACCTACAGGATTCT